CCTCATAGTCGATATCTGCAGCAGTTGTCGGAGTAGGGGCAGAAGCTCTCGTTCCCCTGAGGCAGAGCAAAGCCGACCGAAGGAGAGAAAAGGACAGTCGACATCTCATCCAGGCTGTGACATAACTTCTGGGCTGCTGCTTCTGTTCGGAGATCAGCTCCGCGAGTCTGGCGTAGAAACCTCTTGCACTTGGGCCCATCCCACCAGAGGTTGTGAACACTAGAGGAGTGAAGCTGCCTTGATCAACATTTTGAATTCTCTCCCCATATGCCCTTCTCTTGTCGTTCTCGTTCCTCCTATGCGCAGCATCGAGAGCTAGGTTACGGTGACAAACGGCCATGGGATCAAAAATCCTGATGTCGAAGAAAGCTCGCTGTCCCCGCGTCCAGAATCCTCGAGCACTGACGTCCACACGGGCTTCGTTAGATGTGTTTGAGGTCCTGTGTTGGAGGATCTCGCCATCCAGTGGAAGGAGTGTCAGTTCTACCATGACGTCCCGGCAGATTTCCTTCAACATATTTGCTGTGAGATCCCTTACCTCGTCATGCCTCATGCATATGAAGCCCCCCTTCTTGCAAACCATGGCGTGATCGCCATCATAGGAATAGCCACACACGCATTGGGAGGGCAAACCATCTACTGGCCAGCCGTACCTTAGAGCAATGGCATCTGTAAATTCTTGTTTGTTAAGGCTGAAACCATTTGCCCTTATCGGTAACGTAGTTAACCAGTTCGAGGCGCCCACCTCCTGCGCTATAGCTACTTTTTTTGTCAGATTTTCTGGAACCTGCAGCAATAGTTGCTGCAACATGTCATTTTGGCAGTGCTGCCGATCTGTTGTAATGGATCTACGGATCTTATTAACTTCGCTGGTGTCCACTTCCCCTGTTGCATTCTGGGCTATTATGTGGTCAGTGAGGGCTGCCGTGAGCTTAAATGAATTTTGATGTTCAGAGTCAGCGATCTCCTCTGGATTAGTTAGTCCCATCCCTCCCAATCTTGGTGGAAGTGCAAGAAGTGTTCTTTCTACTAGGGTTAAGTCGTGGTGTTTCACTAGTTTGGGAATGAACTTGACACCGATTGCTTCTTCCAAAGGGTGGAGGAGGGGTCGGATCTCAGGGATGGTACGCATCAGGTAGTTCCAACGATGCTTGACTCCATGTGTGAATGCTGCAAAGGCCGCATGTGGCTCTGTGTTAGCAATCTCCGATAGAGCATGGATTTCGCTAACCCACTCATTCACCTTTCCCCCTACGTACTGGGTCTTGAAGTCCGTAGTGCCAATTACTGCGCCTAGATGTCTTTGGCCGTCCTTAGTTATTTTGACCTCACTTTCGCCGAAAACCTCCACAGCCCGATCATAATGATCTGGCTTCACGATGAGGAAGGATTTGCTGGCGTTTGGGTGGTACCCTATTTGTGGACCTCGCGATGTTACCAGGTCCCACCACTTTTTGATGTCCTCCACTTTTCCTGCTCCTGTGAGGTCATCAGCATATGCCACTTGTTTGACCCCAGTTGTTTCATACTTTATTTCTTGTTGGAGCACTGATAGGCCTATTGCATACATTGCCATTGCAACGGGGTCCCCCTGTGTTGTTCCCTCGGTCGACTGTAGGATGGTATCACCTCGTAGAGCCTTGTTGTTTACTACGTAGAGGTCTGAAGGATTCCTATACGAATTTTCAACATACATCGCAAAGCTAGGACACTTGATCTTGATGTTGTGCAGTGCCGCCTTGCGGTTAAGTATGTTGAATGCGTTTGAAGCATCCACCAGGAGAACGGCCTCACAATCACGCTGCTCAAATATCAATCTCATGGCGTGAATGGCCGCCTCCCCACCAGCCTGGTGGCCAGCACACACTTGTAGGTTCCCTGCTGCTGCCCTGACATCATCCTTTACCACCTCCATTATACACTTTCCGATGATCCGCCTCAGCACTTCCCCCACCCCTATAGGTCTACATCCTGGTTTCTTTTCCAGAGGAATAAGGCGGCAGGCCGTCAGAGCCTGGAGGTGATGGCAGCAAGAGGATGCAAGCTTTCTTGCAAGGGTGGCAATGGCAGTGCAGAGATCGCTTGCTACAGGGCCAAACTTGTTTGTGCTGAGGATGACTCTCCAACCGTTTGCATCCAGACCTGAAGGGCCGGCTCCGCCTCGAGTCTTCAGTGCCTTTTTCCACACCATCTCTCCTGTTATTTTCTCGAACAGGACAGCGTTTGGTGGGATATAGGCACCCTGGAGCCTGATGCCTTCATCTTCGCTTGCAGGGGGATGTTTCTCTTTCAATAGTTTTAATGTCGCTCTGTTTATTGGCATCACTCCACCGGAGGATTCATGTGTGAGAGATCTTACCGCGAGAGACACTTTTCCCACACGCATTTTGTTTCCAAATTTTCTTGCCACGTCATCGGTGTTTTGCTTTCCGTCACCCGTAAATTTTAGTCTCTCCTGCAGTGTTCTTGCTTCACATAGGAGATCATCTAGGGCCCCAGTCTGCCACATTGTCAATCTACTACTACTACTACTACTACTACTACTACTACTACTACTACTTTTTTTTTTTAACGTGGCCTCCAGCCTCCCCCAATAGCCACACCTTCGCCACCATTTATTTACCTTAATATTAAATATCCTAATACATAAGAAGCTATCCTATCTGTGTTATACTACTACTACTACTACTACTACTACTACTATTACTAGCATCACCACAGGTATGTAAACACTAATTGGCCTTGGTGTTACAGGTGACGGGCGTGACGGTGATGGTGGTGGGGGTGTGGTGCGTGGCGGGGGATGGGCGTGACGTCATGCTAGCCCTGGCGCCCACACCCGCCCATATGCCCACTCTCATCCACCTGGCGTACGGACTGGTGGGCGCGGGGGGCGTGGTGCTCCTGACCTCCGTGCTGGGCGTGTGGGCGGCCTTCAAGGAAAACCAGTGTGGACTTGGATTGGTAAGATGAATGGTATTAGGTACTGTGTGTGTGTGTGTGTGTGTGTGTGTGTGTGTGTGTCATAACCCTGGGAATCATTTAGGGGCGTAGCGGATACAGCACACTGAATACCAAACCACCAAGGCACTGTACTCGACCGCTTTCACTTCCCCAACAATAAAATTAGGTACCCATCCACAGCTGGGTCGACTAGGAGGGGGAGATGCCATGGGTGTGAACTAGTGTACTCTTATAACAGGAAGTGAATGTTGTTTCCACTCACCCACTCTACTATGGTGTACAACCTAAACTAACCTAACCTAACCTAACCTAACCTACCCTAACCTAACCTAACCTACCCTACCCTACCCTAACCTAACCTAACCTAACCTAATATTAACACATGGTAAAAGATGTGTTGGTATTAAGAAACCTGATACAATGTAAATTAGTTTAGTGAAAGTTGATTAGATTTCATGTATGTATGTATGTATGTATGTATGTATGTATGTATGTATGTATGTATGTATGTATGTGAGAATGATAGTGTTATGCATAAGTAGAAGACCTGACGATAAATATTTGTTTATAGAGAGTTTTGATGCTGTCTGTGTGTGTGTACGTGACGTGTGTGTACGTGTAGGTGACGTGTGTGTACGTGTATGTGACTGTGTGTACGTGTAAATGACTGTGAGAGTACGTGTTGGTGACTGTGTGTGTGTACGTTCAAGAGGGGAGGGTAAAATGGCATCAGGAAATAAATCATTCTTACGACATCGTTTAGAATGTTTTAGGAGACCGTTCATCCCGTTTATTCCAACAAGTAAAATTCACTTAAAAAATGTCCCTTAAAATGTTTAGGTGAACATTCTATCTATTTTCCTCTAACGGTTAAATTCCTTAAAATAAAATATACCCTGAGATTTATAAACACAAGATGGAGTACTTCCCGCCATCTCCTCTCTCCCTCTGGTGGCGAGATTCACAAGCTTACGACATAAACACACACACCTGGTTTATTTAATGACGTCACGTATTAAAAGTATTATTACACAAACATGACACCTGTGCGCTACTAACCCCGTAACCATGTGAGGCTTTTTGATGAGGTGACGGTGTTACGTGTTGCTGGAGAGGGAGGGAGGAAGAGGGGGGGTTTGGGGGTTCCTTTTGTACGTGACTTGTGACGTTGGTAGTGGTGATGGTTGTGGTGATAATGGTGGTGGTGACAGTGGTGGTGACATAGGTGACGGTGAAGGTGAAAATATGATACTGTGACGGTATCTTAATCATTCTATTCCAGCAAGTGACGGTGATTGGTGACGCAGTATGGATCTATAAAGTGACGGTATGACGGAAACCCAACCCCAATCTAACCTAACCTAACCAATTCTCTTTCAGTACGTGACGTTGGTGGTGATGGTGATTGCTGGAGAGGTGACGGTGGGGATCATGGGAGTCTTATATCAGATCAAAGTGGTGGAGAACATGGCAGCCTCCCTCACTGCTCGCCTCAGGACTCACTATGCCTCACCTGGCCATGAAACCTTTACCTTGGCCATCGATTACGTCCAGTACCAGGTAAAAGGGTGGGAGGAGGGGAAGGGGAAAAGGGGAGAGGGGAGGGGGAAGGGGGAAGGAGAGGGGAGGGAGGCGGAAGAAGAAGAGAAAGGGGTAGGAAGGGGCATTATTGTATTCTCTCTCTCTCTCTCTCTCTCTCTCTCTCTCTCTCTCTCTCTCTCTCTCTCTCTTTCTCTCTCTCTCTCTCTCGTCTAGTGATGTAATATTAAAGGCGGTAAAAATATTACCACACACAGTGAAGAGATAAATAACAATGTCAATATGAATGGAAAAACAATGACCAAATTTTAAATGGTTTTATAATAGAATTTGGGCAGATCTTTTTCATGACCCTATATATCTTCAAGATGGGATCGAACCCGAGTTCTTTCGAGTGTAAGGCTAGTGTCGTGCCAAGCTTTCATACGGTGGTAAGCTATCATTCAGCGCCAGGCTATCACCGAATGCCATATGTTTTATGAGTCGACAAAAACTATATAGTACTCTTGCTGCTCGATATAAGCTCACACAAAAGAATATAAGGCTTTTGTACCCATAGCTCTGTCTGTCTGTCCGTCTGTATGTATGTATGTCTCGCTTCCTCTTTCTCTCTTTATCTCTCCCTCCCCTTTCGGTCCCTGCTGCTCCTTGTCTCTCTCCTTCTTTCTCTCTCTCTTTCCTATCGCTCTTCCTCTCTCCGTCACGCCCTCTATCTCTGTCTCACTCCCTTCTGCTTTCTCTCTCTCTTCCTCACGCCCTCTCTCTCACTCCCTTCTGGTCTCTCTCTTTCTCTCTCTCCCCCTCTCTCCCCTCTCGATGCCTGTCTCCTCTCTGTCCAGGAAATATTGCCAGATCTCGTATTGTGTGAGGCTGGAGCAGAGTAATTCATTTTTGAGCTCCCAAGCCAGCAGCCAGAGACTCAGAGGACCTTACGTTAACTATGGCTCGCCTCAGTATACGACAAATTACACTATAAATCCTGAGCTAAAGTCTAGTCTCGGGGCAGTTTTTACGCCATATTGACGCCCAGGTTAGTGTTACAGTTTAATTAAGGTATTTACCAGGTATCAAACACACGTAGTAAGGGAGAAATTGAGAGTGAAAGTGTTTTTGTAAATCCAAGGACAGATTAAAAGCGTTACCCCTGAGGCTACCCAGCTGACCAACTCCCAAACAGAAAACGGTATTGTGAAAGTCTTGGGACACGAATGAAGGAAATAAATAATTACTTTTTTCCTGTCTTTGTTTTTTTCTTCTTTATATTAAATCTTCCATCTTGTGTCGTTGTTAAGAAATATTCTCCACCCTCTAAGAGTATTGAAACGTTTTATATAATTGAGGAAAAAATGTGATGGGGGGGGTTTGTAGTTTGTGTGAATGTAATTATATGATGTGGTTTTTCTTGCTATTCAAATTATTATTATTATTACGTAATTTCCACATATATAGTTAATACAAATAATAATATGTACCTTTATAAATATTTAGATAAACAAACAATACCAATAACAAACAAGGGGAATTTTATCTCTTTAACCCCACGTCATTAATAACCAGATAATCCTCACATTACATCTGTTAACACAACCCTTTAATCTGGATAACATAATACACACACACACACACACACACACACACACACACACACACACACACGAGATAAACATCTTAACGACAACTTGGGCGTCCGGGTACGATAATCAACGCTGCCATTTTCCTTGCAAGTAAACAAGTTATCGTACTGCAGAACATTAACACTCTCGTCTGCGATATTCCAAATGTATGAATTAGCCCCACTAATCATACATAATCATTCTGGAGAACACAGTGCTATGTCTCATACATTTCGCACGACAGATCACACATACGTCACCGTGAGTAATGAGTCCTACGTCTGGCACCTCCTGTTGGGTATTATCCCTTGTCTGTTTTATTGTTTTTGTTGTATTTACACTTTTCTTCTCTTTTTTTCTTTATAATTGTCTTCTCTTTTCTTTTCATTATTATTATTTTTATTAGTTAATTTTACTGCTACTGGTATTATTATTATTATTATTATTATTATTATTATTAGCACAATAATACAGTAATTCACAAGTTACATTGATCCATTTGGGACTATCAGGGAGGCGCCTTGACCAACTGAACTAGTGACCTTGAACTCTGACCCAGGATAACCTAAACTGATTCAAGGTCATCTTCAATGTTATGTGAAAAAGGTTTAAGTTAGGAGACTTTTCTTTATGGCATAGATTTTTGTTCAATTGGATTCAAAGTCAATAGGGTTCATAAGCAGTGTATGGGAAATCAATTTATGATGTTTGGCTGTGATCCTTACTATAGAACTGTAGTTATTGTGCTGACACCATTAATATATTGACTGACGGACAAACCAATGGATGTACAAGACCCTCAATCTATAAGGGGAATAATAACATGAATAAAGCACACGATAGGCAATAAGAAAAATGGCTAAAATAAAAATCAATCATTACAACCATATAGTAAAGTAAATACACTATACTTTTACTTACTTACAATACTTATACACGTACTTAAAAAAATACATGAAAAAAGTGAGGCCTGATGTCTGTATGTCCATCCATTTAATTGGCAATACAATAACCATCACATGGACGAATGGGTTAATGGCTTTGCTAGATACACATTTAGGACTCTGTAACTGGTCAATGTTCCTTGATCTTCCCAGTCCTTGTGTTGTGGCCCTGAGGTGAAGACTGGTTCAAGTGGGATCAATGTTAATATTGTGTTCTTTAAAGGCGATGCGTGTGTATTACCGATCGTAAATATGGACTTAATTGACACTGTTCTTCCTTTACGTTAGTCTAACACGAGGGATAAGTGTGTGTGTGTGAGTGTGTGTGAAGGAGGTAGGTGTAAGTGTGTGTGTGTGAGTGTGAAGGAGGTAGGTGTAAGTGTGTGTGTGTGTGAGACGATGAGTGCAAGAGGATTCGTGTGTGAGGAGATAAGTGTGAGTTTGTGAGGATAAGAGTGTGATGGGAAAAGTGTGTGAGGGGGAAAGTGTGTTAGAGGATAAATGTGTGAGGATGAGTGTGTGTGTGTGTGTGAGAGGATGTCACCCGCTGCAACAAACCAATGTACAGTATAATCGCCTTTACAGAACTCAGCCACAACCCATAGCTACCCATGATCCAAGAAAAAATTAAGATTAGCAGAGCCAATAACCCATTACGAGAAACCCATGCAGATCTTAACTATAGCGAGTGACTTTTAACTCAGCAACAACAAACCCATTACCATACGACCTAACCTAAACCTGTGCAACATTGACCCAAAAAATCCTTCGTCTAGGATTCGTGCAATTGGACCAAAAACCTTCTTTGCAACAACATCAACTCTCCCCCTCGCCATTACCCATAATCCATGCAACACTGCGACAACCACCCTCCCCCCCCTCCCTTGCAAGAGCCTTTTGTCGGAGTAAGAAAAGGCTATCCTGAAGGAAGCAGCAAGCCTCATTCCTACACAATGTCGTCTTTAAAATATGCAACTTTCGGGAAGGTTACAATGCCCAGTCGCCCCTTTTAACTTCAAGAAGAATTGATCCTTTCCAGAGATGAATGTCGGGCGCCCAGGGAATGAGGCTCGCGTGCCTTCCACCTTGGCCAGCGAGGGAGAAAAGTTTACAGGGGCAAATCTATTTCATCCTGGGTAATATATATAAAGAAATATACATACAGACGTTTATTGGTCGCTGGAAATTTTCAATATCCGCAAAGAGAATATTTTTCATTAAGTAAATCATACCTGCAATATATTCTGGGAACAGCTTTAGAGAACTACATTTCACCTCTCGGATATTTGATACATCCAGTTATTCTTTCTCAACAAACACGTATGTTATTTTCACTGGTGATTTGCTATAACCTTAAGAGAATGTTTTTTAGTGATGTGTCTACCATTACATACGAGATTTACTGTAGGTTGAATGTAAAATTGCTGGAACATTATTTGATCTAAGGCAATGTTGTGTGTCGCTGGTATGTGAACTGACAAGACCCTCAAGGATGAGTGAGTGTTTGTCAAGGTATACATCATCTTCACAATGACTCTAAGTAGATGTTTGAGGTGATTTTTCATGTTGACGACTTGCTACAACATTCCTTCGTAATTTCGTAGTGTTAACCCTTTTATTACGTTGACTTAACCCCTTGAGTAATATAATTTAACTGAGTACGATATCTGAATCTCTTGAGTACGATGCGCAAGATTACTTACTATTTCATCTACAGGTTTATTTTATTTGTTAGCTTGTCATCCACACTCACTTTTACCCACACTCACTCACTCACTCACGCCTCTCTCTCTCTCTCTCTCTCTCTCTCTATCTCTCTCTATCTCTCACAGCTGCAGTGTTGTGGTGTGGGCGGCCCTAGCGACTGGGCGGAGTCTCTGTGGCGCGTTGAAAGTATGGGCGGACCTGGGAGGGAAGTACCTCTCACCTGCTGCACCCTACACCCCGCCCACGCTGCCCACATCAACCCACGACCCATCAACATGACCCTATGCCAGAGTACCAAGCCCGCCTCTCATCAAGTAGCCAGGAACCAGCAGGTGTGTGTGTGTGTGTGTGTGTGCGTGTGTGTGTGTGTGTGCGTGTGTGCATATCCCTCTTGGTATTGTGGTGCAGGTAAGAGGTAGTTACACCTGTCCTCTCTCTCATTACAGGTATTGTACAGGTAACACCATGTTCGGAATAATAAGAACGGCTGTACGATTTATATTCGAATGATATACGATTATTTTACACATACACACACACACACACACACACTCACACACACGCACACACACACACACACACACGCCAGTCCCGCCCACACAGGAAGTGCACAACTACGACGCAACAAAGACTGACCTGCGAACTGACACACACACACACACACAACACCTGTCCGTCCTTGGTCAAGATTAAGATTATGTGTACATGGATAATATGACTATGTGTGGTGTAAGGTCGAATACAGGACACTAATCCCCCATAAATTCTACCTTATTGACACTTCTAGGATGAGTGTACGTTTTCCTACCAGAACGAGGTATTGACACGCATGACACACACCCCATGACACCACAACTAGGTATTGACATGCATGACACACACCCCATGACACCACAACTAGGTATTGACACGCATGACACACACCCCATGACACCACAACTAAGTATTAACACGCATGACACCCCATGACACCAACAGTATTGACACGCATGACACACACCCTATGACACCACAACTAGGTATTGACACGCATGACACACACCCCATGACACCACAACTAGGTATTGACACGTATGACACACACCCCATGACACCACAACTAGGTATTGACACGCATGACACACACCCCATGACACCACAACTAGGTATTGACACGCATGACACACACCCCATGACACCACAACCAGGTATTGACACGCATGACACACACCCCATGACACCACAACTAAGTATTAACACGTATGACACCACATAACACCACAACTAAGTATTAACACGTATGACACCACATGACACTACGATTAGGTGTTGAAGATAGCCGAAAATTGTGATGAAAGAGAGGGATTGTGTCACTTGGGGTGAACCTGACGCACGTAGCCAGGGTGAGGGTGTGTATGAGTTGGCTTAAACTAGAGAGGTATGGTGAAGCGAGAGTCTTTTATTTTTCTCTATAACTTCTTCAATAAAAAGGTAAATCAAATAATTGTGTGTTAGTGGAGTGTGTTATATTGTGTGTGTTATATTGTATGTTATATTGTGTGTTATGTTGTGTGTTATAGAAGAAAATAGAATTGTTTAGTATCTGTTAATTTAAGGAAGAATTTTGTGGGCTGTGGGAAAGCAAAAAATTCAGGACTTACCAAAAATTGTCACACACACACACACACACACACACACACACACACACACACACACACACACACACATGCATTATATAAGCCCATCAGGTGGAGGAGACAGAGCACCTGGGGCCAGTGTTTGTACAGGTATTATACTCTAATTAGTAATTAAGAAGGATGCCGCCTCCCCGTTACTATGACAACACCTGACGAGTCCGATGACCTCCTGATGGTGGTGTCGTGGTGAGACTCATTACTGCCAGGTGTTGGAGGTACGGCAGGGCATATGGTGGTGGTCTAGGGAAGGGATATTGGTCTCTCTCTCTCTCTCTCTCTCTCTCTCTCTCTCTCTCTCTCTCGTTGTGTTTTGCTCTAAATTTATTGTTTATGTCTCATTTTCTCACTTCTCTTGTTTGATCTCGTTTCTGTCTCTCTCAATCTCTACCTCTTCTCTTCTTTTACTACCTCCATCTCCTCCTCCTCCTTCAATCTCTCTCCTTCTCCCCTCCTCACTCCCTCCTCCTCCTTCAATCTCTCTCCTTCTCCCCTCCTCACTCCCTCCTCTTCCTTCAATCTCTCTCTCCACATCCAATCCTTCTTCAGCATCGTCCAGGGTGGGGAGATCAAGTGCCACAAGTGCCACCATGTGTCGTGGAGGGCGCGGCAGGAGCCAGATAGTGTCACCTAGGAGTGCCACTTACTCTCAGCTGTGCCTCCAGAACTTGGGTGTTTCCTAAGGGTCATTTTTCTCCCCAGTGCCGCCATGGTGCCAGCTGGGTCATTTAATCTTCACCTTCTTATATTTGATGGAATCTTTTTTTTGTAATTATCCTCCGCAGACAATGATAAAGCTGTCTGTGTGTCTGTCTGTAAGTCTGTTCTGTGTGTCTGTGTGTTGGTTGTGTGTGTCTGTCTGTCTCTGTACAATGTGTCTCTGTGTGTTGGTTGTGTGTGTCTGTCTGTGTGTTTGTCTATTGTGTTTATTTGTGTGTGTGTGTCTATTCTGTGTGTCTGTGTGTTGGTTGTGTGTGTCTGTCTGTATGTTTGTCTGTGTGTTTTGTTGTGTGTGTGTGTGTCTGTTCTGTATTATCCTGTGTGTTGGTTGTGTGTGTGTGTCTGTGTGTTGGTTGTGTGTGTCTGTCTGTCTGTTTGTCTGTCTGTCTGTTTGTGTCTCTTTCTGCCCTCAACTGGAAAATTCGTGAGTGTAGAGTCTCGGTGTAGTTTGGCCGCCATTACTGACCACACATACCATCCTTACAATTTCAGTAACGAGGGAAATTTACCGTAAGAGCCTTTGAGAATTCAGGTGTTGCTATTACCACAGAAACACTATTAAAGGGAAGTGATATGTGTTGCGGTGACCGTAAACAACACAACACAACACAACACAACACACACCTGATACCTGACGATTACCTGGCAAATACCTGTGTAATTAGAGGTAAGAATCACCTGAAAATCTATGAATAAATAAACACTTAAAAATGATTCACAGATGTTATGAATTTGAAACGTGACGGCCAAGTCTTTTACCGCGATGCAAAAAATATAGAATAATGCGGATCAACGTGGAAATCAAGCGTGGTTGGTTAGGTTAGGTTAGGTTAGGTTAGGTTAGGTTAGGTTAGGTTAGGTTAGGTTAGGTTAGGTTAGGTTAGGTTGCTGTAGTTGCTTATAAAGTCTTATTGGTGGTACATGTTTGACATTCGACTAATACCCAACTGAGACACACTCGACTGAGACAAGCTCGACTAAGAAACACTCTGAGATATACTCGACTGAGACACTCTGAGACACACTCGACCAAGAAACAGCCTGACACACACTCAACTGAGGAACAATAGACATTAAAGTCGACTGAGCTGTGATCGACTGAAGGACATTCGACTGAGACACCTTTAGTCATGCACACCTGTTAATAATTAAGGCAGGTGTTCTGACTGCCTGACTTATTGATTCAAGAGTCAAAAGTGAACTGTTACTCTTAATACAGACGTCTACAACCACAACTACCACCATCACAACCACTGTAACTACGACCATCATGACTACTACACCAACCACCATCACGACCACTACATAATCATAAACAAAACTACAACCATAATCACTACAACCACAACCATCACGACCACTAAAACTATCATCATCACTTCTACCACCATTATCACCACAATTACAACCTTCTTCACAACTACAAAAACCATAATCACTGCAACCACCACTACCACGACCACTACAACCACCACCCCACCACCACAATTACAACCACCATCGTAACCAGAGACCCTTTAAAAATGCAACACATAAAAGGCTAAACCACTCCACACGAGGCGACACTATGGCTGGCTCCACACGTAACCCAACCTAACCCAACCTAACCTAACCTAACCTAACCTAACCTAACCTAACCTAACTTGTAACATTAGGTACCCATGGACAGCTGGGTGACCTGGAGGTACCCCGGGAAGGTAATATATATCAAAATACTGATCATAATTATTTTTAACTTATGAACAATTAATTAAAAAAGTTTCTCTATTTTACCTTTAATTTCCAGCTGAATAGATCAATAAAAATTACTCTGATATCAAAGGATTTTTTTTGGTTCTATAGTGAAAAATATTTATGTTTTTACGTGTGAAAAATATTAAGAATTAGTTTGCTAGGTGTGTGTGTGTGTGTGTGTGTGTGTGTGTGTGTGTGTGTGTGTGTGTGTGTGTTGCTTGATATACAGTGCAGTACTTAATATTTGTGTATGTCTCTCTCTCTCTCTCTCTCTCTCTCTCTCTCTCTCTCTCTCTCTCTCACGCTAAGCTCCCCTCCATCACAGCTGGCCTACACACGCACGACACCGTCTCTAATTTCACCTCAAGTCCTTCTTACCCACGCACGGCGGCCCTCCACAAGCACATGAGGCCCTTCACAAGCACATGAGGCCCTCCACAAGCACATGAGGCCCTTCACAAGCACATGAGCCTCCATGAAGCAATATGAGGCCCCTTCACACACACATGAGGCCCTCCACAAGCACACATGAGGCCCCCCACAAGCACATGAGGCCTCTGGGGCACATGAGACCCTCCACAAGCACATGAGGCCTCCTCCACAAGCACAGTGTGCATTAAGACCACACACACACACCCACACACACGCACACACACACACACACGCGCACACACACACACACACACACACACGCGCACACAATGCACACACACACACACACACACACACACACACGCAGGGCTTTTCCCTCCACGTCATTTGGGAATAAGTCCACCTTCTCCTCTCTATCTTACACTTCCCATTTTCTTTCTCTTGCTGTACCTCGGATATCTCGGTTCCTTCATTAACTCTCTGCTATCTTTACTATCACTGTTGCCTGTCTGTTCATCCATGCGTGTCCATAATTTGTCAGGAGGGATGAAGCAGTGGAGGTGGAGGTGAGGTGGAGGTGAGGTGGAGGAGGTGAGGTGAGGTGAGGGGCGTAAGGTGAAGTAGGGGGTGTTAGGTGATGGATGTGAGGCAAGGGGGGGGGTGAGGTGAGAGTGAAAGACGATGATGATGAATGGATGGTATTTTTTCACGTGTCTGCGTTCGTCCGTCTGTACGCCCGTCTGCTTCAGAAAATGTCCGTCTCTGCGTCTGTCCGTCTGTCCGTCACGAAAAAGAAAGGAAAAGGAGAGAGAGAGAGAGAGAGAGAGAGAGAGAGAGAGAGAGAGAGAGAGAGAGAGAGAGACTGTGAACTAAACCCCACAAATTAACAAGTAACTTTACCACTATGAAACGACATAATTAAAAAGCGAGAGAAATGGCCAATAAAATATGTAGAACAAGAAAAGTATAATAAAAATAGATAATAAAGGCAGAGAGGAACAAAGGGTGGGTGGAGAGAGTTGATAAAGTTGGTATAAAATTCACTAATTGTCTTAATAAATGTCAAGGTGTAAAGGTATGTTGGCGATAATACTACATCACCTGATTAAGTGCGTGGAAGACCGTGTGAGGTGTCCTGTGTGTACCTCTCTCACCCACACACTCACACACACACACACACACACACACACACTAAGAAAACATCAAACACTCTTGACTACCAAAATATCGTAGACTCATAAGAAACAAATTATCGTAGACTCATAAGTAACACCTACATAGACTCTCGCTGTAATGAAATACAATACAGCAGTAGTAACAACAACAATTCTCTCAGCAACAACAAATTATATCCAGCTAACTGCACAGTGTTGGTAGTTTACTCAGCACATACGTAGCAGCTAACGATACATGGAGCTAATGAACTAACTCAGCTAAAACACCAAAGCTACATCCTAATATTTTCAAAGATTGTTAATACGTGTTTTCCTAAGTCACTGTTATTCGTAATTTCCGATATGTGAGTCGACTTTTGGGATGGTTATTGTGTTTACTGTTAATTCGTCCAGGAATGAAAGTAATTGATGGTACAGGTACAAACACAGATACAGGTACAAACACAGGTACAGGTACAAACACAGATACAGGTACAAACACAGGTACAGGTACAAACACAGGTACAGGTACAAACACAGGTACAGATGCAAACACAGGTACAAACACAGGTACAGGTACAAACACAGGTACAGGTACAAACACAGGTACAGGTACAAACACAGGTACAGGTACAAACACAGGTACAGGTACAAACACAGGTACAGGTACAAACACAGGTACAAGTACAAACACAGGTACAGGTACAAACACAGGTACAGGTGCAAACACAGGTACAAACACAGGTACAGGTACAAACACAGGTACAGGTACAAACACAGGTACAAGTACACACCCATTTGTAGTTACAGGTAGGGGGGGTCATCCATTAAACACCAGGTAGGGGTCGTCCCGTTAAGAGACCAGGTAAGGTGGTCGTCCCATTAAGAGACCAGGTAAGGGGTCGTCCCGTTAAGAGACCAGGTAAGGGGTCGTCCCATTAAGAGATCAGGTAAGGGGTCGTCCCGTTAAGAGACCACCAGTAAGGGGTCGTCCCATTCAAGACTCAAGACAACTCAGCGTCATTAAGGTAACTAATAAGCACAGATAAATCCCCTTATGGACACAGGTCAGGTGAGGTCAAGAAGCCGAATAAGATAATTAAGAAGAAAAGTAAAGCAGATAAAGGCAAGAACTTGAGAGAGAGAGGAGAGAGAGAGAGAGAGAGAGAGAGAGAGAGAGAGAGAGAGAGAGAGAGAGAGAGAGAGAGAGAGAGAGAGAGAGAGAGAGAGAGAGAGAGAGAGAGAGAGAGAGAGAGAGAGAGAGAGAGAGAGAGAGAGAGAGAGAGAGAGAGAGGTTAAATAATGTTAGGCAGGAGACTGAACAACCATAATATGTCCAACAACAGCAACAACAACATCTGCAACAACACAGGAAGCAACATTCACTGCAGATACAAGGTGCAACATACATCTCCTCACCACCATGTTTTTTTAACGAATAACTAAACTGCTTCACATAGTTTATAACAGCTGGGACTGCCATTTACACAAGCCTGGCAATTTTTTTTTCATCACCAATTACATTCTGGGATTAGTAGGGAAGACCTCTCCTCCCCCTCACCTCCCGAGTCACACACACACACACACACACACACACACACACACACACACACACACACACACACACACACACACAAGGATGAATTTCTGTTATGTCTCTTCAATGTTTACAAAAGTCAACAGAAACAGACCAAGGGAAGACAGGAACATTTAATATCGTTTAAATGTTTAGGTTAATGAAGTTAAATTAATGAACAATAAAAAAAGTTTATATTCAAGTAAAATTTATCCTAAGGTAAAGACTTAAGAATATATTTGACTCATTTATCAGATTAATTACGTATTTGAGAATCTAAATTTTTACGGATTTTTACGACGATTATCATCCTATAGCGACGATTATATAACGATTATATAACACTCTTATGGTTACATGTCAGAGGCTAAGGAGGACACGAACAACTGATTATAACTGGAGGGAATTATTTTCAGCACCATATTTCAGAGATTTTGTGAGATAATACCACCACAATGGGCCTCTCCCTCCACACTAAAACACACAACGTAGCAGAAACAGATATACCTAACCTGTAAATTTACGACCCCAGCAGAAGGTAGTATAGCGTGCTGGACCACCGTGGGGGTTTACTCCTGGTAGCGTGTTAGTCGGACATTGGAAATAATTAAGCATAAAGTTGACGGTTTTTGTTGAGCGTGAAGACTAATGGGGAAGTCGTTTTGTATCTTGGTTACATCTTGGTCGTTGTTCTCGTCAAGATACACATGGATGAGGTCACACATTTACCGTGGATAATTCTGCCTTTTTTTCAGTTTTTACTTCATGATCAGGTTGTCATTTCGTTACGTTTTATTCCTGAAAATTTTCTCTCCGTCACGATAAAATAGTTTAAATGACACCGAAGCAACACACATTACTGTCTCATTTATAAAGTTGAACATACAGTGAAAGACATGACTGTATGTTGAGGACCTGTCGGTATTAGAGGGCTGTAGTTAACCTGTATAGAGATGAGCTTCTCTTTTTTTTCTAATCCATCGTTTCAATTTACTCTCCCTAAGCTGTTATTACTTCAGACTACCTCACCTGATTTGAATCTTTTCCGTTTTACGTTTAATCTTCTGGTATTAATAGTCTAAGAAAATCCCATTACTCATCATAACTACTATACTAACTACGTGTTTTTCTCTCTCCCCGTGTGTGTGTGTGTCCAGGGCTGCGTGGGTCGTGTGATGGGCTGGGTGCAGGCTCAAAGCGGCATCATTACGGGCGTGGGTGTGGGTGTAGGCGTGCTGGAGGTGGCTGGTTTAGTGGCTGCTGCTTCTCTCTGCCGCGCCATCAAATCCCTACAGGACTAGCGACACGCCACCACGCCCACTCTCACCCACAACACCAACCTCAACCACCAGGGCAGCAAGTCCAAGACCAACTCCTCGTCCAAGCCTCGCCAGCAAGTCCAGAAGACCAAGGAACGCTGTGCCCCAGAAGTCCCCTCGCAAATCCAAGATGGCTTCAGCTTCAGCAGGAGTGAGAATGCACGTGGGCGTGGTCAGTCCCGTCGTCCTGGTAGGCGGAGTTTGGGCGACGTGGAAGAACTGACCCGTATGGAGAAGATCTTGGATGAGTGGACTCCATACGCCTCCCTGGACCACGTCGGGGCGTCCAATTGGCGGACTCCTGGACGTGGTGGGCGTAGGGGTAGTGGGCGTGGTGGTAGTGGGCGTGGTGGTGGCAGGGACAATTGTCACATCAGTGAAGAATTAAGTGTTGGCAGGCGAAAAACTGGTGTTGGTGGTAGTTACAAAGATGAAAGTAGTGGACGTGGTGGTGGCACTGACAGGCATCGTCATACCGGTCGTGGTGGTTATAGAACAGGAGACGAACTGAGAACACTAGGAAAGAGAGACAACAAAGAGACATACAACGAGGACAGGAACGAGGACAGCGGCTTCAGAAGAGACCCTAACACGTCCTCGTGGCGGTTCAGACAAGACAACATAGCCAGAATGACGAAGGAGAAGAAAGGTAAACAAGGTGGTGTTGAGGGACGAGTAGTGAGGAAGAAGGAGGAGAGACTCAACACCCTCAAAGCCTCAAGTAACAACACCTTCAGGAATAACTGGCTGACGGAGGCAAGTGTAAAGAACTTCGACGATTTCCACAGCGATGATTTCACAGAAATTAACCGCAGAGATAAGAAATTCATCGTTAATCTGGGAAATTTATCCAGCGATGGTTTTATGGAGATGACGCCTCGGGAGAGAAAGATCACCAGAAGTCTTGGAGATTTACGTAGCGATGACTTTAAGGAGATGAACGCTAGAGATAAGATGTTAAGCGTTACTACTCAGACTCCTTCGTCGATGTCTCTCAAGAAAGCTTCAGCCTCTAGCGTCGACACAAGAGACTCCTCGTACTCATGGGTGTCAGGAAGCATCCAGGAAGAAGAGGAGGAAGAGGAGGAGGAAGAAGAAGAAAGAAGAAGAGGAATAATAAGAAGGAGAGAAGATGACGAAGAGGATGAGGACTTTGGTTATGTGAAACGAGGGATTAGATTCTGGGATGGAGAACGAAGGAGAAGAGAAGATGAACGAGAGAGGAAAATCCGTATAGCGAAATGGAGACAGAAAGAGGAAGAGAAACGAGTGAGAGAAGAAGAGTGGATATATAAAGAGGAAGACACGGTGTGGGTAGCCAAAGCGGACAAAAACATACGAATGAAGAACCAGAAAGAGAGAAAACTGGAAGAGGAGAGGAAGAACGCAGGAGAACGGAATAAGAGCGGAAGAGAAACGAGAGAACGGATATACACAACAAGAAAAGGTTTGCAGAGTCAAGGAAATTATTGGCGAATAGGGTATGGCGATAAGGGGATAAACAAGGAACTGAGAGTGGTAAGAATAAGTGACGAACAGATGACGAGTTTCTGAGTGACGTCATATGTTTATTGGTCGCTTATAAACTGTTATCATCCTCAAGTAATTATACGTTTTACCTCAATAATCTCACTTTATCGTGTACTATTACGTAACAAAATTAAATATAGTACCTAATCTCCGCTACATCATGATTAAAAATTAATCTATTTGGCCTACATGGAGATACAATAAATAATCTACTTTTTACCACACGACAAATAATTACATAATTTCCCCTTTCTACAATGTCAACTTAATTCATCATTTACAATATTACACAACACAGGGCAACAGAAACAATGGAAATTAAGTAAAAACAATAACATAATTTGTCTACATTAAGCTGTACCCAATACGGAATCAATCCCTCACTTGTCATGTTTACACTGATGCCTTCTGGGAGATCGTCGGGTACTCGCTGCGCCATCTATGTTTACTGAGATACTAAAACTCGGTAAGATCTATCACACGCCGAGTCTAAAATGTAAATTCGATACTTGAGAATTTTCATGGCACATCTGGTCGGAGGTAACTGCTGTATGTTGGCTTTTCTGTGTCTGTCTGTCTTTCTCCTGCGTCAATTTATGTGTGTGAGCATTAGTCAGAACGTCGGACATTTTTAAAACAATTAAATTTCCCACAATGCACCAAGTAGTAAATAAACACGGCATCATTAACTCATAGTGGTATTAAGTAATTTTATCGTCTATGATGATATACTTAAGAATAGATAAGAATTAAGTATATGTAAGTTATAATGTAAGTTAGGGTATATTTACAGTACTTACAAAATAACATAGGGAATATTTACTTACAATATGTATCTTTATGTAGGGGGAATGCATGTGAGGTAAGGAGAGGGGGGGGAGGTAGGGGGAGGGGTGTTAGGTAAGGGGAGGGGAGGGAGGGGATGTACAGGGGTGACTCAGCTATAATCCCTGTCCATTGTTTTGTGTAATATGTAAACAAACGTCTATGTAAATTCGTCGGATCTTTCACTATTAAAGTTTATTCACTTTTATATTCTGATTTATTCCCTATTTATCGTCCCTATGACTTGGTGTATAGGGTGGTGATATTGATGCCTATTGGTGGTGATATTGGTGCCTATAGGTGGTGATATTGGTGCCTATAGGTGGTGATATTGGTGCCTATAGGTGGTGATATTGGTGCCTATAGGTGGTGATATTGGTGCCTATAGGTGGTGATATTGGTGCCTATAGGTGGTGATATTGATGCCTATAGGTGGTGATATTGGTGCCTATAGGTGTGATATTGGTGCCTATAGGTGGTGATATTGGTGCCTATAGGTGGTGATATTGTTTATGCAGGTGGTGATATTGTTTTATAAGTGGTGATATTATGCCTATAAGGAGGATATTGGTGCCTATAGGTGGTGATATTGAGCCTATAGGCGGTGATATTGTGCCTATAAGTGATGATATTGGTGCCTGTAGGTGGTGATATTGGTGCCAATAAGTGGTGATATTATGCCTATAAGTGGTGATATTGGTGCCTATAGGTGGTGATATTGATGCCTATAGGTGGTGATATATTGGTTCATAGGTGGTGATATTGGTGCTCATAAGTGGTGATATTGGTGCCTATATGGTGATATTGGTGCCTATAGGTGGTGATATTGATGCCTATAGGTGGTGATATTGTTTTCCATATAGGTGTGATATTGAGCCTACAGGTGGTGATATATTGGTGCCTTATAAGTGGTGATATTGGTGCCTATAGGTGGTGATATTGGTGCCTATAGGTGGCATATTGCGCCTATAGGTGGTGATATTGGTGCCTATATGATGATATTGGTGCTCATAGGTGGTGATATTGGTGCCTATAGGTGGTGATATTGGTGCCTATAAGTGGTGATATTGGTGCCTATAAGTGGTGATATTGCGCCTTATAGGCGGTGATATTGGTGCCTATAGGCGGTGATATTGGTGCCTGAGTAGGCAGATATTGAGCCCAGGTGGTGACATTGGAAAGCTCATAGGTGGTGATATTGGTGCCTATAGGTGGTGATATTGGTGCCTATAGGCGGTGATATTGGTGCTCATAGGTGGTGAGATAGTTGGTGCCTATAGGTGGTGATGGTTTAAGTTTGCAGGTGGTGATATTGGTGCCTATAGGTGGTGATATTGGTGCCTATAGGTGGTGATATTGGTGCCTATAGGTGGTGATATTGGTGCCTATAGGTGGTGATATTGGTGCCTAGGTTGATGATATTGGTGACAAAGAACCAGAATAAACTCTCCTAAGTACAAGAAAATATCAGATAACTGACTGACTGACTGAACCACTGACAGAATTTTTCCTCCTGGTCAGTACTGTGTTGTGGCCACGTCTCCCTAAACCCTCCTCCCTGAGACGTGGCGACGAGTAAAGAGTGGAGTCGTCCTTCTCGTCGTCACAAACAACTTACTGTACTGCTGGGAGACCAATGAATGAGGTTTAGTGATTGATCCTCATGAAATAACTCGACTCATAACGAAGCATCTTCAAAACAAACATAAAAGAATAAGAACAATAAAAAAAAGGAAAAAAAACACTAATATAAAAACGAATAAATAAACACACACAAGTTATTAACAAAAACACTCCTGCCTTCAAAAAAAAAAAAAAAAAATATCAAATCAGGAAAATAGAACATTTACGACATATTTCTTTTACCAGGAAATTCCGTAATCTTTAATTTAGTTTCGGTAATCCGGTAACAAGAGAGTCTTTCTTTACGCTTGACGCTCGTAATTCCAGAGATCATCCTGATACCGGGAGTATTTTCTCGTCGAGTTTCACGTATAATCGCTTGTGACTTACGATCTTAAACATTACCACGATATTTTTACAGTAATGGCGAGGGAAAAAAAACGATTCTCTTAAGATTTTTTTATTTATTTTTTTTTTTCTTTCATCTTAGTTGTTTGATTTTGAGAGGTGTTAACCCTTTGAGTACGGTGTTAACCCTTTGAGTACAGTGTTAACCCGTTGAGTACAGTGTTAACCCTTTGAGTACAGTGTTAACCCTTTGAGTACAGTGCTAACCCTTTGAGTACAGTGTTAACCCTTTGAGTACAGTGTTAACCCTTTGAGTACAGTGCTAACCCTTTGAGTACAGTGTTAACCCTTTGAGTACAGTGTTTACCCTTTGAGTACAGTGTTAACCCTTTGAGTACAGTGTTAACCCTTTGAGTACAGTGTTTACCCTTTGAGTACAGTGTTAACCCTTTGAGTACAGTGTTAACCCTTTGAGTACGGTGTTAACCCTTTGAATACGGTGTTAACCCTTTGAGTGTGGTGTTAACCCCTTGAGTACGTAGTTAACCCTTTGAATACGATGAGTTGATCCATTGAGTATAATTTCCCCTTGATTATGATATTAACGTTTTTGAGTACCTGTACTATGCTAGCTCCTTGAGTACGGTGTTTATCCTTTTGAGTACAGTGTAAATATACCTTACATTCTGTCATCATCATCATGTTTGTTATTGTTGTAGAAGCCGATAAAGCCCACTATATCTCCTCCAACTGTGTGTGTGTGGGTGTGTGTGTGTGGGTGGGTGTGTGTGGGTGTGGGTGTGTGTTGTGGGTGTGTGGGTGTGTGTGTGGGTGTGTGTGTGTGTGGGTGTGTGTGGGTGTGGGTGTGTGTGTGGGTGGGTGTGTGTGGGTGGGTGTGTGTGTGTGTGTGTGTGTGTGTGTGTGTAATCATCTTCTCTCTAAACACCAATTTCACTTCGGGATTAACACACTTCAATCTCCTGTCATTACAACTCACAACGTACAGTAAGTTACATGAAACAACTAATGGTTCAGTAAAACACAAATAATAATATTTTTCACATATCTTATTATAAACAAAATTTACAAATATTGGATAGACAAACAAAAATACAATTCACAACGTAGACAAGATGAAGACAAGACCCATCGGGCACCTGTGACTGACATGAAGACAAGACCCATCGGGCACCTGTGACTGACATGAAGACAAGACCCATCGGGCACCTGTGACTGACATGAAGACAAGACTCATCGGGCACCTGTGACTGACATGAAGACAAGACCCATCGGGCACCTGTGACTGACATGAAGACAAGACCCATCGGGCACCTGTGACTGACATGAAGACAAGACTCATCGGGCACAAATATAAGCAAACACTCAGGCTACGTCTGTGATGCTGGCAAAAATGTCTTAGTATCTTTTGAGTTTAGAGATCTTAGAACCAGATTTAATTCTTTCAGTGTGTGAATGTGGATGGGATATTCCTTTTTCATTTAGTAATTTATAGGAATACCTAGATAAAATGACAACGTAAGATATCTACCTGACTATAGGGAAGTTATCTGCGATATAGACTATAGAGAAAGACTGCTTGATGTCATTTGTAAGGTGACGAAATATTGTAGTTTCAGTTGAGAAAAACTAAATGAACTAAGAACAATTATTATGAACAGGTGTTAGGGAGACTCTCCAAGGCTCCAGGTATGAACAAATGTATGGAAGAGATATTTTGAACTTTCAGCTTTGAACAAGTGAGGAAAACTTTGAATTTCCAGCTTTAACAAGTGAAAATAAAGCAAATCAACGGAACTTGCAGGTGATGGAACGGGTGGAACAGAAGTTGCAGGTGATGGAACGGATGGCTCGGAACTTAAAGGTGATGGAACGGATGGAACGGAACTTGTTGGTAATGGAACGGGTGGAACGGAACTTGCAGGCGATGGAACGGGCGGAACAGAAGTTGCAGGCGATGGAACGGATGGAACGGAACTTGCAAATGATGGAACGGGTGGAACAGAACTTGCAGGCGATATAACGGGTGAAACAGAACTTGCAGATGATGGAACGGGTGAAATAGAACTTACAAACTGTGGAACGAAGCTTAAAGGTGATGGAACTTAAAGGCCATAAAATTACACTTAAAAGCTTGTAATTATATCCAGGTAATAAAATAAACTACAATTCAAAATATATATCAATGACTATACTGTAAAATTTTCCCTCTGAACAAGAATGACGAAAATATTCTTAACCTCTCAAGAATAAGTAGATGTGAAATAGATCGCTGAAATAGAGTTTTGATATTTTTTTGACGTATGAATGATTAATTAAGAGACGCAGGTTCTTAGTAGGTGGGAGCCAGTGTTGTGTTTACGTCCATGTTGGGGAGGAGGAAGAGGAGGAGGAAGAGGGGGGTGGGGGAGAGGAGGATGACTGTTCCCCTTGGAGTGCTTGTAGTCAGTGGCCCAATATGGTTATGGTACTTAAGGTGTCACGTGAAGTCCTCATGGTGTTGTGATGGTGCATCCTTACCGCCCGTAGCCGCCGCCGCCTCCATATCCACCGCCATAGCCGCCGCCACCATGTCCACCGCCATAGCCGCCGCCTCCATGTCCACCGCCATAGCCGCCGCCTCCATGTCCACCGCCATAGCCGCCGCCGCCATAGCCACCGCCTCCATGTCCGCCGCCTCCGTAGCCTCCACCGCCTTTGCCTTTTCCGCCGCCATAGCCTCCGCCGCCCTTACCTTTTCCGCCTTTGAAGAGTCCACGGAAGCCTTTGAAAAAGCCGCCACCCTTGCCTTTACCCTTTCCACCACCATATCCACCACCGCCCTTTCCCTTTCCACCTCCGTAGCCGCCTCCGCCTTTACCCTTTCCACCCTTGAAGAGTCCACCGCCAAATCCACCTTTGAAAATGCCACCGCCCTTTCCCTTTCCACCTCCGTAACCGCCGCCGCCGTGTCCGCCCCCGTAGCCGCCACCGTAGCTGCGCATCACTATGACTGGGCGATAGTAGTGACCTCCTTTCCTTTTCTTGAAGGGCTCGGGGTCAGGGGCGGGTTCAGCGCTGACTGAGGTGAGGACCCCCATCAGCGCCAGCAGGAGGGCCAGCGCCCAGTGTGTCTGAGGGAAGAAGAGAGAGAAGCAAAATAAAGAAACGATAAGAAAACACCTGAATATTCCTGGGCCTCGGCTGTAGATGTGATGGACGCCAAGAAAACACCTGAATATTCCTGGGCCTCGGCTGTAGATGTGATGGTTCTCTCGGGTCAGGTCTGCCCCAGGGTTGAGGTAAGGACTCGTCATTACCTGCCAGAGTCTTTCCATGAGTGTGGGATGAAGACTTAAGGGTCAGTCTTTCTACTAAGTTCCATCTCACTGTCACCCGTGGCGACTTTCACACCTGATACATACATACATACATACATACATACATACATACATACATACATAAAAAACAATGCCCAATTTTAATACATAAATTAAAATCTGAGAATTCTCTTTCGACGGTCTTGTATAAATAATATCAAGTAATGTAAAGAAATAAATCCCTTTATCCAGTGATGTAATCTCTCAAGTAATCCTGGTATGGGCTTAATCCGCTTCAGGTATAGTAAGAAATCCTATTGAGAAACGGTGCCCTGTCTCTAAGGAACAGGACAACAAGTATCACTCAAGGAAATGACCTTACACTCAAGGTCTATAGCCACCCTTGTGCTCATCCTCGAGGTGAAGTATGCTTGTTACTCGAGTCATAAGTTAAGGTAGAGTCAAGGAAGAGTTTTGATGTCATAATGGATGACTACTTTGTGTTTAAGTGAGTCGTAGAAGTTAGGTGCTCTTGTATCAACACAGTAACCACACACAAACACACACACACACACACACACACACAGTTTCAAGAATGTTGTACAAAGCTTTAAAGGTGTTTTATAAAGCTTCAATAACTTATTTAATAAAACTTCAAGAACATAATGCTTCAAGAACGTTTCATTAAGCCTCAAACACACATTATAATGAAGCATCAACAAACGTATCACGGAGCCTTGAAATCATTGCTGAGTATCGTATATAAACTTTGTAACAGTGTCTCATGAAAGCTTCGAACACCACAACTGTGACATATAACAGACTCACACAATAAACACACAGTACGTCACATACACCACAGTTCATCACATACACCACAGCACACCACAGTACACCAGCCGTGACACCATACTCCCGGGAGATATTCAATACTCACTACGTTCATTATGGTTCTATGGTAAAGGCAGTCGTCCTTGGCCTGAGCGGAGACGGAGAGAAGAATGGTTCCTCCTACGGTTGTCTGCCTCTTAAATAGACGCCCAACCTGCTGCTGCTGGGGAGGTGACTGGGAGGGGGTTGCCAAGTAGTGTGTTTACTTCTCTTTCACTTTCTACCTGAGAGAGAAACGGAAGTAAACAGTTTCCTGGCGACCACGATTAGTCTCTCGTGGGAAAATCAGGGTGGTGATATCTTTGTGCATTGTGATGTAATAAAGTGCATGAACTCTATCGTATATTCTCCTGTATGAGCTCTGTAATACACACACACACACACACACACACACACACACACACACACACACACACACACACACACACACACACACATAATGGAAGGATGAATTAAAGTTTTTTGAATAATTAATTCCAAGACATTTTCAGTGAGTCATGTACCTAAGCTCTTGTCTCCTTGTACCTGGCAGCTGAGGTCAATACTTAATACACGTCTTAGGGATTGTGTATTATTATTATTACTATTATTATTATTATTATTATTATTATTATTATTATTATTATTATTATTGTTATTATTATTATTATTATTATTATTATTATTATTATTATTATTATTATTATTATTAACGACAGATGTTAACAATAATCACTACATCAGAATTTGTCAACGAGTGATGGAACGAGAATTTTGTCAGATGTTTTATGACACAAATGACATAAACCGACACACAATATGACGCAAACAATATAATGACACACATGACACACAATATGACGCAAATGATACACTATGATACAACTTACACACTGTGACACAAATGACACAAGATATGACACAGATGACACACTTTCTGATGCAAATGATACCATGACACAATTGACACACACATACCATGACACAACTAGCACACTATAACACTACTGACACATTTATGACACAAATGACACACGATATGACAAAACTGACACACAATGACACAACTGACACACTATGACAAAAATGACACAATATATGACACAGTTGACATACTATGATACAACTGACACACTATGACACAACTGACACACTATGACGCAACAGACACACTATGACGCAACCGACACACTATTACCCAAAACACTATGACACAACTGACACACTATGACACAACAGACACACTATGACGCAACAGACACACTATGACGCAACCGACACACTATGACGCAACAGACACACTATGACGCAACCGACACACTATGACGCAACAGACACACTATGACGCAACCGACACACTATGACGCAACCGACACACTATGACGCAACCGACACACTATGACGCAACAGACACACCATTACGCAATAGACACATGCGGAAGAGCTGTAGCTATTAAAAATCTAATGGGGGGATAAAAAAAGACCACATTAGTAAGATTATTATGGAGATCACAACAAAAACAAACAAACAAACAAACAAACAAACAAACAAACAAACAAACAAACACAATAACAACAACCCAGGTGAGATTATTTACAGGTGAGAGCTACGACAGAAGACCCCGGAAGTGAGATAATCCCTTGGCGTAACCTTGACTCTCTACAACACCTGGCCAAACCTGTGTCCTGCCTCTACTGCCTCTACAACACCTGGCCATACCTGTGTCCTGCCTCTACCACCCTCTCAACACCTGGCCATACCTGTGTCCTGCCTCTACCATCCTCTCAACACCTGGCCATACCTGTGTCCTGCCTCTACCACCCTCTCAACACCTGGCCACACTGTGTCCTGCCTTACACCCTCTACAACACCTGGCCATACCTGTGTCCTGCCCTACCACTCTCAACACCTGGCCATACCTGTGTCCTGCCCACCACCTCTCAACACCTGGCCATAGCAACACCTGGCCATATACCTGTGTCCTGCCTCTACCACCCTCTCAACACCTGGCCATACCTGTGTCCTGCCTCTACCACCCTCTACAACACCTGGCCATACCTGTTCTGCCTCTACCACCCTCTACAACACCTGGCCATACCTGTGTCCTGCCCTCTACCACCCTCTACAACACCTGGCCACACCTGTGTCCTGCTCTACCACCTCTCAACACCTGGCCATACCTGTGTCCTGCTCACCACCCTCTCAACACCCCATACCTGTGTCCTGCCCTACCACCCTCTCAACACCTGGCCATACCTGTGTCCTGCCTCTACCACCCTCTACAACACCTGGCCATACCTGTGTCCTGCCTCTACCACCCTCTCAACACCTGGCCATACCTGTGTCCTGCCTCTACCACCCTCTACAACACCTGGCCACACCTGTATCTTGTGTAGCTGTGGTTTTGTAGGTGTGTGAGGGTGAGTGCGTAGAAGGTCGAGGTAAAGGTGAGTGAACCAACACAGCTTCAACTAGTGATTTATTCATCACTGGTGACGAAGAAGGAATAGGTGTAAACATCCGCGTTCTTGGGTGACAAACACACACACACACACACACACACACACACACACACACACACACACACACACACACACTCTACAATGACTTAAACCCACGAATACAATGACTTACCATCTGACCCCCTTGAGTTCAATGATTTATCCCCTTGAGTACGATGAATTAAGGTAAGTGTCATTAGCAACACGTTTAAACAGGTAATAATTATGTTTTGTTATTCAGTTCATCAGTGGAAGAAATGAAAGACAAAGAATGTGGATTAATGTAATGTTTTGTGTTACTTTACATCAATGAGTAGATAAACAGGAATAGTATTTAATGTATTACAGTTTGAGAAGGAAACGTCATTAGCAACACAAGTTTAGGTCATAATAATAAAGAAACCAATAAGGTCTATTTGTGAGTCTATGATACTGTTGTAATAATCTTGTAGTTACAAAAAGTTACTGTTTATTTTTCTTGCCTCGTCAGCCAGTTCATGATGAATATCCTCCATGTGTGAGGCAATCGTTCATGACCAAGCTGCTGGGTAGGAGGACCTGACCTCATCACCCATAGCTGCCACGCCCGTATCCACCGCTGCCACGCCCGTACCCACGCCCACCACTCACTCCTCCATATCCACCACCGAAACCGATACTGACGCCGCCACCGTGGCCATAACCACTGCTGAAACCGCCCCTGTGTCCTCTAAATCCTCCGCCACCATAGTTGCCTCTGTATCCACCGCTGCCATAGCCGCCTCTGTATCCACCGCTGCCATAGCCGCCTCTGTATCCGCCGCTGCCATAGCCGCCTCTGTATCCACCGCTGCTGTAGGCGCGTCTGAATCCGCCGCCGCCGTAGCCGCCTCTGAATCCGCCGCCGCCATAGCCGCCTCTGAATCCGCCGCCGCCGTAGCCGCCTCTGAATCCACCGCCGCCGTAGCCCCTGCTAAAACCACCTCCATGACCACCGTGGAAGCCGCCTCTAAAACTTATGCCGCCGCCAAAACCGCCACCGTGGCTGCCGAAGGAGACGTGGGACCTCCTTCTGCCCCCCTTGAATCCCTTACCCTTGGTGGGCTCTGGGTCAGCGCTGACGGAAATGAGCACCGCCATCAGCGCCAGCAGGAAGGTGAGAAGCACAGTTAAATAGATAATATATAGAGACCTAGGGAAGTACAACGATGAGAGACACAAAGATGAACTAAAAAAAATAGCCAAAAGCTGTGTTTGAGAAGAGCAGCTTAGACACATCCTGACACCATCATACTGTCATAGATACTGAGTTAGTGATGTTTGGCAAATTGGCAGGGTGATGCACCTTGGCCAGGCACAAGTTATCGTACTGGTTAATAAATATTGTTTATCTACATCTTTAATGATAGTATGAATAAGATACAGTATTATGTAGATCAGTATTTTTACATGAAGATGATGGGTGAAATTTGTAACCAGATCTGGGAATATGTATCATTATTGCTGCATTATTTGTACGTCTGGCAGCAACACATCCACCGGCATGGCTTCTTATAAGATTCTTTCGATGAGTGAGTGAGTCAAGATTTTCATTCACTGAGCCAACTTAACTCTATATATTAACCCCTTGTGTACAGTGTCGCCTTAGAGCCGGCACTGATCAAATCGTCTGACGTTGGTCAAATAATACATCAAAAGTGACCTCCCTGTAGTGAAGGGGTTAGAACAGGTACAGTCGCTTCATGTCTTATTTACCTATATGACAATTACCTTCAATTTACATGATGCGACTTAGTGAGGTTAGATCAAGGACAACATTGATTAAATTACAAAATAAACAATGACTCGAGACTCTAATAGAAGGTGAATGAGAACCTGACGTCACGACATGTTTCATACAATACTGATGGAGAAATTAAACTAATGGACAAATTTTAATTGAATCCCAGTACTTGAAGATCCTTGTTGTTGAAGCACCTTAATAACTGGATCCCTCTCCATTAAGTTTAAAATATAATTAAAATGAATATCATCAGTTGATTTTTTTTGTCGTCACGCAGAGAATTAAGAGTCACCACTGCATGCGGGTCTGATGTGACACAGAGACGCACCGCAAAGTTAGTCGTGTTGGGAATTGTTACGACGATTTATTTCCATTGCTTGACGATGAGCAATTCTGTGATGACAACGATGAAAGCGACGATATTGACCATGAAAATAACGATAAGGATGATAAGGAAAACGATAATAACGATGGAAGTACCGATAATCACGATCAAAATAACGATATTGATGATAAAGATAACGATAATGACGATGAAGACGACAATAATGACGATGAAAGCTACGATATTGATGATGTAAATAACGATAAGGATAATGAAGACAATAATTACAATAATAAGAATTAAACCGACGATACTGACGATGAAAACAACGATGATGAAAGCGACGATATTGACGATAAAAATAACGATAATGACAATGAGAACGACTAGGACAATGACATTAAGAACATTACACTGCACTACAATACAATGAAAAGAATCTAAGGAAAATAAAGTATAAAAATCGGTGTCAAATAGTGCCAAGTAATATCAAATAGTGTTAAACAGTGCCAAAGAATGTCAAATATTGTACATTATTCCCCCAATCAAGTACAGGGTCCATATTCCCAAAAGGACACGTACAGTACCATATACCATTCTTATTCCGTGTTTACTGAGCAACAAAAACAACAACACAACAAGGTAGAGTCTGTGCATTACATCCCCGCCATAGTAAAACTCTACCTCAAGTTATCGTATAGTATAAGTGAATGATATCCTAGATGATGTCCCTTCTTAAATCCTATAATCCTACGATGTCCTTTTGGAGGAGAAATATTACTCACGAATTTCATTTTGGCGGTGTCCTGGGTAATGACTTCCCCCTTACTATGAACCTGGTCCTGCTTGATACACTCCTTGGAGGTGGTCTAGTCAAGCACAAGATTCGGACATCCCTTTACACCTTCTCCCCATCCCCCCTCCCTCCCCCTTCTCATCATCTCCATCTCCACCCCCTCCCCCTTTTCCCTCCCCTCTTCCCCTCCCCAGATCAACAGGTGTCAATTAGTGATTTTATCCAGTTTTTTTATATTTTTATTCCAAGAGTTTATAAAAGCTTATAGACAAGTTCTTTGAAGTCGTGAGTAGTGTGTGTGTGTGTGTGTGTGTGTGTGTGTGTGTGTGTGTGTGTGTGTCCATAAATAAAACTCTATTCTTCTTAAGTTTCTACATACGACTCTCAACTAGACGGAGGAAGAGAGAGGAGGAGGGGGTGGAGGAAGGGGAGGGATTGAGGGAGAGGGGGGGGAGAGGTGAGGGGGGTCCTAAGTCACCCCAGTCCACTGTCGTAGGTAAGATTACCTCCACCTTTTCTTTTAGATAGCCAAGGTCACGAGTTCTAGCAATATATAAGTAAACACCTGACTTAATATACACAAAGAGATATTAAGACAAAAAACAGAGGAAAAACAAAGGCTCATTATCACACATGCAAATACAAGCACTCAGGAATATGTATGTAAATAAAATCACATTAAAGAAAATATACATTAATCCAGGTATACTGAGGTTAATTAAAGGTAAATACAGGTATGTTTTTAGGTAATCACAGACAAATTATTGCAACAGGGTAATCATAATACTTAATAACTATAACTACCTGTGTTAATTGGTGTTATTGTTCGTTCATTGGTGCTGGAATAGAAGCCTTTTTGTGTGTGGTATCTGTTGACACAGATTGTGGAGAAGGGGGGGAAGGGGAGGGGAGGGAGGGGAGGGGAGGGAGGAGGGGGAGGAAGGGGAGGAGGGAGGGAAGGAGAGAGGAGGAGGAGGAAGGGTGGGAGGAGGAAGGAGGGAGGGAGGAAAGGGGGGGGTGGGGGGAGGGGGGGAAGGAGGGAAGGAGGGTGGGTGAGTGGGAGGAGAAACGGAGAGAGGTAGGAAGGAGGAAGAAGGGAGGACAGGGAAGAGTAAGGGCAGAAGTAAGGTGGGGGAATGGGAGACTGGGAGATTCAGGAAGGAGGAGGGTGGAAGAGAAGGATAGAGGAGCTGGAATTGAGGAGAGAGAGAGAGAGAGAGAGAGAGAGAGAGAGAGAGAGAGAGAGAGAGAGAGAGAGAGAGAGAGAGAGAGAGAGAGAAGCAGAAGTGGAAGCGAAAGAGACGAAAAGGAACGAAGGAGACAATAAAGTAAAATATTTTCACTTCCAAATTATTACTCAATAACCTAACACAACCTAACCTAACCACCTGTCTTACCATAGACTAAATCAATTCAGACATAATAACTAAAGCAAATACCTGCTTCATAACACACACACACACACACACACACACACACACCTAAAGTTTAGTGTAATCACCCCAGGTATTGGTGGCGGTGTAGTGTCAGGACCAACACGACTACAACACAGCGGTAAGTTGGTCAGTCAATACCAGAAGCGTAGGAAGGCGCCTTGGTGGACTCTACTGGACTCTGCTGGACTCTACTGGACTCTACTGGACTCTGCTGGACTCTGATGGACAATTGAACTCGGGAATGGTACTGCTACACATTTCTACCTACTATCAGCCTAATGACATTCAACATATTGAGTTTAATGGGGGAAGGAGGGGGGAGGGGAGGGTGGAGGGGGATGGGGGAGGGGGGAGTTGGAGGAGGGAGGGAGGAAAGTCAGGGTTGTGGAGACGTGGCCGACTTTCTGTCTGTCTCTCTGTCTGCCCTCTGTCACGTTCTCTGCTGGCTGAAGGAGCGGGGAAAATAGAGAAGGAGGGAAGAAGGAGGAAGACAAGGCGTGGAGGAAGGAGAGGAGAAGAGAGAGAGAGGGCGAGGAGGGGGGGGGGTGAGACAGAGGAGGGACTGAGGACTCTTATCACATTGTACAAGCATAATGTTATGTTGATGACGTAATGCTGTTATACGTTTCTCCTGTTACCTGTTGGGGAGAATCAATTAAGTGAGGGAACGTAGAGGGAGATGGGAGGGATAGAGAGGAGGGGAAACAGGGAGTAGGAGAATAAGAAGGCAGGGAGGAAGGAAGGAAAATGACGGTACAAATGGAGAGGTAAAGAAGGAAGGAAAGGGAAGGAGAAAAATAGGATGAATGAATGAAAGGAAGGAAGGAAAGAAGAGCTACTTTTAACATCTTAGGTTACCAGATTTAAGAGGCGAAGTAACTTGCTCGCCAGGTAGCTACGAGGCGAATAATAAATTCCTTAAAATAACTCCTTTAAAAATATATACTCACTTCGGAGACGACCTTGCAAGCTTTGATGGTACACACGATGACCCGGTAAACTTTAATGGCACATAAGACGACCTGGTGAGATTTAATGGCACACAAGACGACCTGGCAAGCTTTAATAGGACACACGACGACCTGGTAAGCTTTAATAGGACACACGACGACCTGGTAAGCTTTAATAGGACACACGACGACCTGGTAAGCTTTGATGACACACAAGACGACCAGGTAAGCTGTCCATTAATTTCAGACGTGTCGTTCTGGTCGTTCCTATCACGTCTCCTGTCATCGCCAGCAGAGTGAAACGGGGCGGTATATTATTGTGGTGGTGCTGGTGGTGGTGGTGGCTGAATGGATGGTTGGTTGGCTGGTTAGCTGACTGGATGGTTGAAAGGATGGCTGACCTATTACGTTTGTATTATGGTTGTGATGGTAGGACACGTGGGCTGGCTGCCTGACCTATCCCGCTTTAAGTCGTGGGTAGGACATGTAGGTTGGCTCGCTTCTAACCTAACCTAACTTCTAGCTGCACCCCTAATCTACATATAATGTAACGTAACCTACAAGTGAACTAACCCACCTTAAGTTAGGCTAGTTAGAGAAGGTTAGGTTATGATAGATTAGGTTAGATTAGGTTAGGTTAGGTTAGGTTAGGTTAGGTTAGGTTAGGTTAGGTTAGGTTAGAGTCGCCGGGTTTATTTACAACTAATGTAGAGACACTTTCTCCCTATGGTAATTATCATACAAGTCTATGTAAAGTTCAGGTGTATTCTCTATCGCTTGACTTGTTACTGTAATAAAAATAATAATGTCTGATAATATAATAAAGATGTAAACGTTGTGTTAATAAGAC